ATAAATAATAGAAATTCCCTCACAGACTTCTAAAAAATTTTGCTTTTCCATTTTCTACTGAAAGCTTTGGCAGCAAATTACTTTGATTGCCAACATGTGCTATGTTAAATATAGCAACTGGATATACAGCATAAGTAAAAAAATAAATAAAAAAATAATTTATTTATATAACCTCTATTATATGTGAAATAAAAAATTAGACATACAATGAAAATGATATTAGATGAAAAAAGTCACAAAAACAATATAAATAAGACATAGAAAAAAAAAACTGTGTCAACATTGACCTGTCTTAAATTCTTTATATGGAAGGAAAAGCTATAAAGTCTCCTTCATGTGTCATGGATAAGATGGCAGGTTTGTAGGACGTTGATTGATCACCACCATCTCCTACTGAGTCAATAGTAGGCGGTTTACTATGCAGCATAATCTGTTTTGATCAAATTGACGGTTCTCAGGGGTTGCTGAGCAGCTTTGCAGAACTCAATCACTCCAGCAACACTGGAAAATAACACAGAAGCTGCTTCCTCTTCTTTCTTTACCCATTGCTGGTGCTCATCTTGAATCAAGCCTTCTTACCACATATTACAGTTTTTTCTGATTGCTTAAGCACATTTTTTGTAACTATTGGCTATTTTTGCAAAACTCTACACACAAATAAGAAAACCTTTCACCCAATTATCAAAACATTGCAGTTCTCTTGCAAAAGTGAACACAGCTATATTAACTCTTCACACCTTTGTAAAAATTGTGTTTTCGTATCAAACAGTAAACACAAACCATCATCTACTAAGTACACAATGTGCCAACTACACACTGATGGTATGAATACAAACCACATCTGGCTTTCCCTTTCTCTGTGTACAGATGTCAATTTGAGGTCATACTTTTGTCATAGTGCTCCAGAGCAAGAGACCCATATAGTGAACATGGTGATTGCCAATAATGCAATAAGACTGCACGAAATACAGCAGCGCATAATTGAAAATGACACCATCTTTCAAAATATACACAGTGTAAGCATTTCTTCACTAAGTCATGTACTTGCACGCCACAGAATAAGAATGAAGCAAATTTACAGAGTTCCTTTCCAGAGAAACACAGAACATGTAAAGCAACTGCGATATGACTATGTGCAGGTAAGCTATAGTGTCGTTGGTTCTGAATTTGGAAGTGCATACTGTAGTGCTGCGCATGGGCCTGATGTGATGCATTTGTTTTGTCTTGTCCAGAGAGTGATGGAACTAGAAGCAGATGCCATGGGACATGAGCTACTTTTTGTAGATGAAGCCGGATTTAACCTCAGTAAAACCAGGAGACGTGGCAGGAACATTATTGGACACCGTTCTATCATCAATGTCCCAGGACAACGTGGTGGTAACATAACCAAGTGTGCAGCTATAAGCCAAAATGGTGTTGTTCACCATCATGCAACCATAGACCCATACAACACTGCACACATTTTTGCATTCCTGGACACCTTACATGACATGCTCACTGTTCAGAGACCAGAGCATACCCGATATGTCATCATATGGGACAAAGTTAGTTTCCATAGGGCTGCTTTGGTCCGCAACTGGTTTACAGACCACCCATTCTTCATGGCACTCAACCTCCCTCCATACTCTCCATTCTTAAATCCCATCGAGGAGTTCTTCTCTGCCTGGCGCTGGAAAGTGTACAACTGTCATCCTCATCAACAGGTAGCCCTTTTACAGGCAATGGAGGAGGCATGTGGAGATATTGACCAGGCATCATGTCAGGCCTGGATACGGCATTCAAGAAGATATTTTTCCCGGTGCCTTGGACTGGAGGATATCGCATGCGATGTGGACAAAATTTTGTGGCCGGACCCAGAAAGACGACATGATGAAGGCTGATTGTTTTTTTGTTTTTTGTGAAATTACTATTTTATGTTCTTGGTTTTGATGAGTGTGAATAAACAGCAATACTTGAAATTTGGATCCTTGTATGTTTACATGACACTATGACAAAAGTTTGACCTCAAATTGACATCTGTACACAGAGAAAGAGAAAGCCAGATGTGTTTTGTATTCATACCATCAGTGTGTAGTTGGCACATTGTGTGCTTAGTAGATGATGGTTTGTGTTTACTGTTTGATACGAAAACACAATTTTTACAAAGGTGTGCAGAGTTAATCTAGCTGTTTTCGCTTTTGCAAGAGAACTACAATGTTTTGATAATTGGGTGAAAGGTTTTCTTATTTGTGTGTAGAGTTTTGCAAAAATAGCCAATAGTTACAAAAAATGTGCTTAAGCAATCAAAAAAAACTGTAATACAATAATGGTTTTGTGATCCCATGGACTTTATACCTTAGAAAAGCTGTTTGATCAAATGAATTAAGAACTTTCAGGGGTCTGGAAATTGTAACAGAACAAAGACACACACAAAAAAACTATTCTCTTCCTGTTATTTTATAATTTATTTATTTTTTTTTGCTCATGCTATATGCAGTAGCGTGGTGATGTCTTCAAATGCATCCACAGATGTCTCTTTCCCTACTAATACAATTCTATTTTGATTTCTAACACTCAAATTATGTTCCCATTTTTACAGCTTCTATCTGTATTGTCTCTCATTGTACCAATGTCTCCTTCGTGGCCGCAATGAGTGCAGACCTTTTAGTGTGGGATTCTGTACCTGATTTTCAAATGTGCTATAGACATAAAAACTGCACATCAGTTCCAGGTTAATGGATGTGTTTGAGGGTAGTAAGCATTTATATTTACATATCCTACACTGATAAATATGTGTTTTTTTCCCATTGTTCTGTTCTATTTACATAGGAAAATTACTTTGCATCTGGTATGAAAATCAGCTTTGCACCGGCTAACAAGTTTACACATGTTTCTCTATATGCAAACCTAAGGAAGATCAGGTCTTTTGACTATACTAAAAAGGAGATAAGAATATTTTGTGTTAAAAACAGTCTTGGGAAAATAAAGTTTTTGCAAAAGGCTTGTGTTTATAATGGGTTACCTACCTAATTAACATTTAGAAAAATAAATTTAGGAAAACAAGTGTAGTCTGCATGGGTGGTTCTAGACAAGGGCCAACAGTGGCCAGCTGCTGGGAGGAAGGATCTGACTCACGTTTTCCAGCCCAAAAAAATTTCATAAACCGCTTGTGTATACGAAATCTCACCCAATTAGAACCAAAGTCTATTGATCTCTTAAGCCATAAATCTAAAGAAAAAACTTTTTACCCATAGACGGCCATCCTAAACTGCCAGATTGGGAAACATCCCAACCTGGCAACAATGCACGTAAGAAGGGGAATGTTAGCCTTTAGATGCAAAACCCCATCATGCACCGCAGCATATTTTTGCGGAAATATTTGAACATAAATTCATAAATTCTACGAGAAACATCATAGTTTAGCTTATGGAAAGCATTTCAGTTTTATTATAATTTAGATTGTTGCAAGGATTGTTGCTTTTAAAGTTTGAAGAAAAAGGATTTTACAAGAAATAGAAAAATACACCATATGCCAACCGTCACAAGGATGCGCATGGCAAGGAAGGGCTATATATACTGCATGCATCATTTAAGTAGTTAAAAATTGTATTACTTCTTGAGCTCCTTGGGTTATTTACTGTCACAGTTAGGCGCTTCGGCCAGAGAATGAGTGATGGGGCCGGTATGATTTAAGGAGGACCGGCACTCGCACGCTGAAATTATGACCGGCCCACGGGCCAAATGACCAGTATCACAGATTACCAGTCCAAGCCTGCCACCATGAAATACACAGTCCCCACCCTGCCCCCCCTGGTAAATTGGTCTTTCACCTCCACTGGTGGTCTGAATGTATTTTCTATGACTATATGCATAAATCAACCCCTGTTTTTGCAAAAGAATGTGTTTTAAATTATTCTGTAAAAAAGGTGAATAATAAAGGGATTACTGTAACCTACAGAAGAGGATTAGAGCCACTGGAAAATAAAAGAAAGATTTTCAATTTTTATTTATTTCTGAAATTAAAGTCAGAATTCTAAGGGGAAAAAAAGTCAGAATTCTGAGATTTAAGCCAGAATTCTGAGATGAAAGTCAGAATTCTGAGGAAAAAAGTCAGAATTCTGAGATTAAAGTCAGAGTTCCGAGATGAAAGTCAGAATTCTGAGAAAAGAAGTCAGAATTCTGAGAAAAAAAGACAGAATTACAAGATAAAGTCAGAATTCTGAGAAAAAAGTCAGAATTCTGAGATTAAAGTCAGAATTCTGAGAAAAATATAATAATTCTGAGATTAAAGTCAGAATTCTGAGATTAAAGTCAGAGTTCCGAGATGAAAGTCAGAATTCTGAGAAAAAAAGACAGAATTACAAGATAAAGTCAGAATTCTGAGAAAAAAGTCAGAATTCTGAGATTAAAGTCAGAATTCTGAGAAAAATATAATAATTCTGAGATTAAAGTCAGAATTCTGAGAAAAAAAGTCAGAATTCTGAGATGAAAGTCAGAATTCTAAGAAAAAAAGTCAGACTTCTGAGATTAAAGTCAGAATTCTGACTTTTTTCCCATATTAAACTGAAATAAAATTGAAAAATCAGTTAACTATTTTTTCACTGGCCCTAATCCTCTTACGTAGTAATCAGTGGCTTTTCTACCGTACTTTTCTATTGCAAGTTAGAAATGACCAAAAGAGAAAAGTGCACAAAATCTCATCAGAGTGATTTGACCTGTGGCTCCTTGCCTTGACTTTTGATGGAGCTCCCTGGCGGCCAATTGGCAGCAGGCATGAGGGCTGAAATCTGTGACTTTAGAGGAGGGACTTCCTGCAGAGCTGTAGTTGGATGGAGGGCTGCTTTCAGTTGACACGTAACTAAAATTAAAGGTACTTCACAGGGCCTCGTCCTGTGTGTGAATCTTTCAACTTTAGCAAGCTTGGATTGAATTGCGTTGGATACTTCGGAAGGCGGAGGAGGAAACACCGAAGCGACCGAGAAACGTGAAAGTTCGAGAGTTTAGTTTTGCATGTTTTCAGTTGAAGTGAGACGTAGATCCGAGCGGTTCCTTTGAAGTCGCTTTGAGTTGGTTTAAATAATGCACACTGTTTACACGTAAAGCTGTGCTGTTTATAGTGGCGTGGAAATGCTCGGTGAGTGAGGGGAGGCCTGTGAAAAGTTGAGTCGGAAGTTTCCACCAGCAGAGACGGGGCTTTGTCGCTCCGGCGGCGGGGAGGGGTGCGGGTCCAACATGGGAAACGGGGTTTGCTCCCGCAGGCAGCGGCGGATCTTCCAGTGCCTGCTGCTGCTCACCGTGGTCTGCGGGATGATGTACGGGGGGCTCATGTCCTATGAGATGCATAAACAGCTGAAGAGGACGGAGGCGATGGCCGTGAAGTACCAGCAGCACCAGGAGTCACTGTCGGCTCAGCTCCAAGGTAAACAAGCTGACGGTGAAGTGATTGACAGCAGGGCAGAAAAGCTGCATGAAACCTGTGATCTCTGCAGAAAAACGCAATACAACTAAACTCTTAGATTTAACACCTAAACTCTCCTTTGAAATCTATAAAAAACGTCATAATAACTTTATTAATCCCATCAGACTTACAGTGCATTTTTTTTAAAACAAAAACAAAAATCTTATTTAATGTTGCACTTATATGGATATACTTAATAACTCATTGCAGTAATAACCCACTTTGAGTTCTGATATTCTTTCACATCTGCCATGTTAAGTAAATATATACTCACATGAACCAGTACTTTAAGATATAGAGGACAATCTTTTATTTCCGCGTGGATCATCTAAATAAGTGGTCCTCCTAATTGTCAATCATTCGGGTGATATGTTTGCATTTGTGCTCGCCCTGTTAAGGGCTGGTTATACTCCCCGAAGCAGTGTGTCGCAGTGAGGTTGACGTAGACCTTTTTTATTTATGCTCAATACGCTGTGGGTCTCGATACGACCAAGGTGGTGAGGAAGTAGGGGCGATTTTTGACCCACAACGGAGGGACGTGAGGGCGAAAAATAGCGGGGATCCAGGTGGAAAAAGGGTCCCAGCGTTCTTGCGCACCTCAATGTTCTAGCTGGTCAAACTTCACGAGTTGTTTTCATAAAAACAAAACAGGCCGGTCTCCTGTCTGTGACACTGTCTGCGGTCACCTACAATTTGGGCGAGGTGCAGCTGAGTGTCTGAGGAGGGGGCGGGGACGTCTTTTTGTTCACTGCGACACCTACGCAGACGACCTAGTTTGGCAATATAAATCAGCCTTTAGCCATATTTTTTCTGTGCATGCACACTTTAACTTCCTGTTAGAAGGGAGTTTTTCCTCTCCACTGTCGCTACAAGCATTCTTAGTGTGAGGGATTGCATGCGAGTCAATGAGTTGATGCAATTAACTGGTTTTCCTTAGATAGAAAACTGAATCAAATTGACTGTATGATCTAGTTGAATTTTAAAGTGCCTTGAGATGACATTTGTTGTGAATTGGCGCTATAGAAATAAACTGAATTGAATTTAAAGTGCTGGTTATACTCCCTGCAGCTGTGTGTCTCAGTGACCTTCCTGCAGATAGTTTTTATTTATGCTCAATATTGAAGTGTTGTCTGAGCTATGTTATTCCACGCCACAACGCAAAAGGGACAATCAGGAACTAGCTGTGGGTCTGGATACAGCCGAGGCGGTGAGAAAGTGGGCGCAGGTTTGTGCGACAATGGAGGGACATGAGGGTGAAAAAGAGCGGGGATCAAGGTGGAAAAAAGGGTTGCACACCTCGCTGTCCTGGATAACCTGTCTTCACGAGTTCACAAGTCTTAAAAAAACTTGCGAAAATTCTTCACAACACCTTTAAGGTAGGGGTTGCTTTTACAGCCAACTATAGCTGGGATTTGATTAAAAGCATTACTTTCTATCAGCGTCCATCTTAGACTAAAACAGTACAGAACCTCCCTGTCTTTGTCTTTCTAATCTGTAGATTCCGGGTTAATCTTCAGATGTTTTTTTGTGTTTGCACAATGTTGCTTCTTGTGTAGCACATGCCTGCTTTTAAAGTCACCTCAAACCCTGGAGAGCTTCATTTATTTATTCCTTTACTCAGTGCTTCACGGACACCTGGTTGTTATGACCTGGTGGTGATCTGTCACCCAGACAGAAGGTCTCCCTGGATTTCTGCTGCTGTCACAACTTTAATATCAGAGCAGGAAATGGAAGCACAGATGCTGCACTTTACAAAACACTGATCCGGCACAATGTTCAGGACATGATAATTGGTTTATGTCCAGCCAGGGAGCCACTTCGGGGACGTCCTGTTAACTTTAAACATTAGGGGGGAAAAAACCCAAACAGGTTTTAAAGCATAACAGCTACATTATCCCATTATTAACAATCTCCTTACTATTTGAGATCATTTTACCAGATCAAAAACTTTTTCACATTTGACATCATCAGGTTGTGGTCCAGCAATTCAACTGAAAGTTAAAGCCCAGACTTTGATAATGGTGACATGTCCTGCATTCAGAAAGCCATCTGATTATAGATTTTTTTTAAAGCCGTTTTGTTCCAGAGTAGAAAACATTGATCCCTGCAAAGTGCCAGTACAGTTGGAATGGTGTGGCTTAATTTAGGATGTTTATGGAAGACATGCTAGTGTTTTCTGTAATGTGCCTGGTGCTGGCTGGAAGCTTTTTGGTACCAGCTTTATTTGAAGAAGGCACCCAGGGCAGTACTGGGGTCTCTGTGACATTTCTAGTGGGGTGGTGTAAATGTTTATAGTGTCCAAAGGTCATCTATTTACTTGGCCACCTGATGCCTGTAAAATGTGATCTTCAAATGATTTAAATCCTATATGGAGTTTCTTTTAAATCATTTTTAATACCTAAAATGTTGCACATTTTATCATCAAGAAGATAAAAACTTAAAATGTGTTTGGATATTATTTTATGGCTCAATACAAAGTCATGTATCTATTTTAATAAAAGTAAATTGAACAAAATAGTTTTGTACCATACAGCTTTTAGTCCGCCTGAATAAAGTTCAATGCAGCTATTTTTCTGCTGTAGTCACCTGTGTAAAGGATTCACAGGTTCTAGCAGAGAACACTGAACAATTAAAGACCAAAATAACACATGAGACAGACCAGAGAGAAATTTATGGAGAAAAAAAATCGAGAGATTGTTTGCAAAACAATAACTCAAGTGCTGGAAAGCTCAGAAAGTTTTATTTGATCTAGAATCCAAAATCAGAAAGACCTTTAAAGAAATAGTACACCCAAAACATAATTAGCCTTCATTTTCTACTCACCCCCATGCTGAACAACACTCTGGAGTACTTTTTTGATATCTCAAATGCATCTGGAGATCTGGGAGGCTTCTTGCTGTCTGCTGACATTCAAATAATGGAGGTCTATGGCACCCAAGACACAAAGGTCCATAAAAGTCCACAAAAAATGTGTCAATATTCCTCCATACTGCTCGTCCAATGTATTCCAAGTGTCCTGAGCGGGTAGGGTCCATAATTTACTCGAAACGAAGTCATTTAGAATGTTTTTAGAGCATAAACAGTAGTGTATAGGATTTCCTAAAAGCGCGCGCCTGCGAGTTCACGACGCTACGGAAACCGCGGCAGACCAAGCCAGATGAAAGTGCGCATTCAGCGTCTGCTCTTGATAATGCAAGCGTAGAAGAAGAAATGTGCTGTTTACCTGTGCAAAGAAAGAAACAACGACAGAAAAATGTCTGAGGACTTCAGTGTTGAGGAAGAGCATGAGTTCTTTGCCGAGCTGAATGCGCACTTTCATCTGGTTTGGTCTGCCGCGGTTTCCGTAGCGTCGTGAACTCGCAGGCGCGCACTTTTAGGAAATCCTAAACACTACTGTTTATGCTCTAAAAACATTCTAAATGACTTTGTTTCGAGTAAATTATGGATGCTACCCACTCAGGACACTTGGAATACATTGGACGAGCAGTATGGAGGAATATTGACACGTTTTTTGTGGACTTTTATGGACCTTTCTGTCTCGGGCGCTGTAGACCTCCATTATTTGAATGTCAGCAGACAGCAAGAAGCCTCCCAGATCTCCAGATGCATTTGAGATATCAAAAAAGTACTCCAGAGTGTTGTTCAGCATGGGGGTGAGTAGAAAATGAAGGCTAATCATGTTTTGGGTGTACTATTCCTTTAAAACCACTGCAGACCTACCAACACAAGCAAGCAAAGCTTCAATTGTAGAAGCTGCAAGGATCCACAGCTCAGGTGAGCATTTATGGAAGAATGACCTAAAAAATACAATTGTTTAAAGAAAGCAAAGAAACGATAACCAGTTTGATGTTTTTGGTCATTTATTTAGGGGCCCCATCAGACATGTAGAAAAACATGCTATGTTCAACCCTTGACACAGAACACAACATTTACTACAGTGAAACATGGCAGAGGTGGCATCATGCTGTAGGGACGACCCAAGCAGGTTAAATTCATGGAGACAGAAATGTAAACTAACTTTAAACAAACAGCCAGAGCTCCAGTGGAATGCTTTAGATGTTATGATTTTTATTTATTTATTTTTTTTTAGAAATCCTCCTTCCAGTCTAGAGTTTTTCTCTGAACAAGAATAAAAAAAAATATTCGGTCTGTAGTGATGCAGGGCTGTTAGAAACATATCCTAAAACACTTGCTCCTGGAATTGCAGCAAAATGTAGTTCATCCAAGCACTCAGATGGACTGAAAGCATGTGTTCACCACACTTTTCAGATTCGTAATGGTTTAAAAAACTCTGCAAGCCATGTATCCTTGTTTCTTCCTGCTTCACGGTTACAGTGAATGCATCACTTTGTGTTGATCTATCAAGCAATAAGGGAAAAGGTTCAAAGCAGTTCCAAGTATTAATGGTATAAAATGACTTCTTTAAATGTCAAACAACATATATTATAATTTGATATTTTTATAAACCTGAAGGATGAGAATGATTTCATTTATCTGGACACTATATGTTTTAGTAATGCAGTCTGTTTGAAAACTGTACTGCAGACAAACAATGTAGAAGAGTGATAATGCCAAGAAATCTAAAGAAATCTTTTAAAGGTTTGAGCCCCTTTATTTGGTTTTCATAATGATAATAACTCAAGGACATAATTGGATTTAGAGTAGGGACATATGATTCATTAAAAAGATTTGCTGTTAAGGTCACGCCTCCTTTAGTAATTCCTTTAACTAATGCATTTGAGGTTGGGCTAACAGTGAGAAAGCTGTTTCAGAAGAGTAAACAGTAGTAAAGTTCCCTTATTTACTCTCTTAAACACTCTGCTGAGCTTAGAGGATGTGAGGGTGTTGTTTTACTTCATCATTTTTAGTTTAAAATGACCAACAGGGCGGAGAGCTATTTACCAAATGGCCTTTAAGACCAAAGGTTTATACTGTAGCACATCTGTGTTTGGTCTTTTCCA